AGGCGGGTGGATCACCTGAGGTCAGGAATTTGAGACCAGCCTGGCCAACATAGTGAAAACTCATCTCTACTAACAATATAAAATTAGCCGGGTGTGGTGGCACATGCCTGTAATCCCGGCTACTTGTGAGGGCTGAGGGAGGCTGAAGTAGGAGAATCTCTTGAACCCAGGAGGCAGAGGTTGCAGTGAGCCGAGATTGCACCACTGCACTCCAGCCTGGGCAACAGAGTGAGAAACAATCTCAAATAAATAAGTAAATGTGATAATTGTCTTTTCTTCTAATCGCTAAAAGAAAGAAATGCTCAAGAGAAATCAAGACAAAAATCAAATACAGAAAACTATACTGAAGTAAGCCCAAATCACTCCAAATTTCCACCACCCAGAGATAACCTCTGTTCTTATTTTGTTGAATATGGTTTCACACATTGAACAGGGCATTTTGACACACATGTGCAGTCACATGCATGGTCACATGTGTTCCCCTGCACAGTTCAGGGTACAATTAGTGTGGCCCGGTTTTCCTTGAGACTTCGAATGTTCAAGCCCCATGTGCGGGTGATAGCAAAGAGTCCAACAAGCAGCCCTGCTGTTCTCTACACGGCTCTCACTACCTCCCTCTTACCCTCTTACACACAGAGGGTTCCCCTGCAGGTGTCCTGGACGGGGGTGGTGTCCAGTTCCATGTGGTCCTGTTTCAATGCACCAACCATGGTAGAAGGACTTGAATAAGTGACCAGAAACTAATCTTAGTGAGCAATACTCTGACTTGTCAGTTGGGTTCACTGCTCCCAAAGCAGCCACAGTGGTGGAAGCCCAGTGTTCCCCCTAGACCAGAGAAGGGCTGGCTCCAAGCCAACCACCCAGGGCCCTTCAATGCAAGCCTTTCCCACTTCGTGCCAGGCAGGTCACAAAGATTTGGGAGGACTGGGCTACATCATTGTTCCCCTTCCCATAACCATTCTTCCCAGAAACACCCCCACAGCAATCAACGCAGAAGTGTGTTACATCCTTCTCCCAGGACAATGAGTCAACTCACCCTCCCCTGCCATTCCCAGAGATACTACCTTTGGGCACTCCACAGTGACTTTCTGTCCTGGCCTGTCTGTGCAGTAGACTAGGGAAGAGAGAAAGCACAGATGAACCTCCAGCAGGGTGCCTCGCTGCTCTCACACCTACCCTCTCCTGACACACACAGATGACAGATGTACACATCATTTGACTTAAATGGGATTATACAATTTATCCTCTTCAATACCACACTAAGAAAAAACACCTCAACAGCAAGTTGTGGACAGTTTTCATTTATTTGTTTTGTTTTGTTTTGTTTTGTGACAAGGAGTCTGCAAGCCCAGACTGCAGTGCAGTGATACAATCTCGGCTTACTGTAGCCTCTGCCTCCAGTGGTCCTCCCACTTCAGCCTCCCAAGTAGCTGGGATCACAGGCACACTCCACCACGTTCAGCTAATTTTTTGTATTTTTTGTAGAGAAAGGTTTCACCATGTTGCCCAGGATGGTCTCAAAGTCCTGGGCTCAAGAGATGCTCCCACCTCAGCCTCCCAAAGTGCTGGGGTTACAGGTGTGAGCCACCACGCCTAGCCATGTGGACAGCTTTCTATGGTACGATGTTTTCGAGAAAATGGTTGGATTGCAAGGCAAATAATTATGGGCATTTCATCACTAATTGACTACGTTCTGACCTCCCACCTACCACCTCTACCAACAACAAAAAAAGTTTTATGTTTATTGAAGAGAATATATGGAGCTTGATTTTTAACTCAGGGGTTAGGGGCCTTTTCAATATGAAATTGAGCTGAGCCTTCTGGGTAGAATTAGTGTGAAGTCAGGGTTGCTGATTAAGGGACAAGTTGGGAGGTGAGAACAGAAAGGGTGAAGTAAAGTCCATAGGCTCTCAGGGCTGGAAGGGACTTGCCCACGTTGTCCATCTTCTGCTTGCATTCCCTTCGTAACGGGGAACTCAGCACTTCACCAAGACAGCCTGTTAGCTCACAAAAGTATTTCCTGTGTGGGTCTAGATTCCATCTTCCTAAAGGTTCCAACTGTACCGATTCAAGGTCTTCCTGAGTCACTCTGTAGAGAAGTAGAGCCAGCTATCCCAGGGCCCATGAGTCCTCTATTCTCCAGTTCCCTAACTCTGGTGGATGGGGGCCCCCTCCCTCTGACTAAACACACCCTCTGAAAACTCAGGACTGCCCGATGCAAACTCACTCTCATACCCAGCTCCTAACAGGAACCTCCCTTCACCTCCCAAGAAGCCTTACTCACACGTACCAAGCCGCAGTCTGTAAACCTGTATTCTCCGGGAATGGAGCGATTTCAAGGCTGACTCTCCCGGTCTGGAAAGAAAAGTCACTTCCCACAGTGAGCAGTTCGTAATGTAAAGTGTTCATAACTCCCAAGAGATAATACGGGCAGGAAATAAAAACTGCTTCCAAATATTTGAGACAGATTTATGGACACTGAGTCACAAACGGCTGCCATTTCCTTCACTGTTTCAGGTAGTTTGGTGCCAGAACACCTCCCTCCTGCTGCTCAAGGACCTGTCTCCAGGCCGCTTCCGTTCCTCGTCTCAGCCTCTCGCAATGGGCTTTCCACGGATGCAGCGCAAAGCACTCGGCCCGGTGCAGAGTTCTCGGGCATTGAAATGGTGGCGGTCTCGCCACAGCTCACGCTGCTGGTTTTTGTCTTTGTTCTTGAAGACGAATTATCTCCTGTTTATTATCTCCTGTTTAAGCACTAACAGAAGCATAACTTACATTTCACAGCCTTCAGAGTGGACTTTACATAAACGCAATGTTTCTGTTGGGCCGGCTTTACCTTCCCTCTGGAATCTGCTGGAGGTGTTTGGAGCGTTGGACTGGGCCACTGCGCAGGGGTGGGGAGCGGGGTCACAGCCTTCCCTATCCCATCATCTCCTACCTGCACCTCAGGGCATGCACGCGAATGGAATCCATCTTCTTGGTTTGGAAAAGAAGGGGATGATCCTATCGGCGAAACCTCCGTGTCAGGCTCTTGCACCTCAACTGTGAGTCATATCCTACATGGATCAGGCACTCACTCCGCAGCAGGCCCGGGGCTAAACCTTCACAAACACTGTCCCCGCCATTCTTCACTCCATACTACAGAGGAGACTTCATGGAAGTCAGTTCACAGAGGCCTTTCCCCAGCCCCACGGTGGGGAGCAGAGGGGCAGGGCTGAGCCCAAGTCTGACTCCGGTCCCGCTCATACCTTCCCCAAGACTGCACAGGCCACCTTGCCCAGCCTTCATGGCGATGCTGAAGGCAGGTGTGATTCTTGTCATTTTACCCACCAGGAAAGGGAGGAACCAGGGGAAAGGGAGCCTGGGAGTAGCAGTTAAATAACCTGCCCAGACCTCACAGCCAGGAATTGGCAAGGCAGGAAGAAGCCCACCAGCCTCTCAACACCAAGAAATCTCTCCTCTGAAGGAGGGAGGGAGGGTGGAGGGGTAAGGCTGTGGCATTTTTAATCCTCCTGTTGAACTGGGAGCCTCTGAAGGTCAGGGGCAGTGTCTGATTCGGCACCCCACCCCCTCGGGCCCTTAACCAGCCCCACTCAGGATGTCATGAGCCCCTGTGCTGCCCGGGGTTGGTGATGGGCAGACCACAGCCTGTGGCCTGGAAGGAGGAGAGACAGGGTGGCAGGCCCACCCAGGCTGGGGTCTGAGGAACAGTGAATGAGGTTGTGAACAGAGACAGCTGGGGTGCAGCAGGCCCGGCAGCAGAAGGGAAGCTGTGAGCCACAGAGGGCAAGACTGGTGGCGGCCCCACTGGCCCCTGGGAGGAGCCCTCCCTGGGCCTCCAGCAAGATACTCCTAGGCTGGCAGCTGAGGCCTGGTTCACGTAATCGCTCCATTTGTCTTTTCTGACATTTTCACAGACACTGTAGGAAGCCTGGGGACACAGAGCCTGCCGGGCAAAGCCACACTCTCATGAGAGAGCTAGCCAGCAGGAAACTAGAACCGTGGATGTGCAAGATGGGCACACGCGTGGCGAGTCCTGAGAGGGAAGCCAGCAGAGGGTGCGACGGAATACCCAGGGGCCAGGACTTCTGAGCCGGGGGGTGGGGGGGGGGCAGGATTGGGGAGGGAGCAGCCATGAGAAGCTCCGGGAAGAAGGAGGCATTTTTGGCAGTGAGAAATGCAAGTGCAAAAGCCCTGAGGCATGAAACCGGAAGGAATCTGTGGGAGGTCAAGACGGCAGAGCCAACGGAGAAAGAGGGCCTGCGGCAGGGGACGGGCATTTCTCAGGGAAAACAGAGCCCCATGAGGGATGTTCCAGATTCAAGCCCCTGCCCTGTGGTGACCCTGCCAGGTGGCTAGGTCAGGATCTTCCCTGGCAGGCCCAGGTCTCATTTGCTGCGTGAGGACGGGGATGGATTCCCAGGGTCCGGGCTCTCCTTCCCCATATTCTCCTGTCCCCTCCCATTCCCATCACTCAGATTCCAGGAGTCACGACTGGTGTCTCCCCCACAGGAGGTTCCCAGAAAGTCTCAAAACTCCCACTGCAGTCCCGGGACGCAGGGGCTGAGGGAGAGGAAGGAAATTCTCACACAGCTTTCTCCCAGGGAGTTTGCTCTTGTTCCCAGGCTGACAACTGGCAACCCTCAGAACTCTGCTCCCCACCCCCTTCCTCCTCCTCCTCCTCTTCCTTCTCCTCCTCCTCCTCTCCTTGCCTCCTTCTCTCCCCCTGCCCCCCTTCATGGGCTTAATGACTTCCACATGGGCCTCTGGCGGCTGGAGCCAAGCCTCCCAGCATTGTCTGAAATCTCCAAATTTAGAAGAAATATGAAAATTGTCAACCACTCCTTCCTTAGGGGGTAAAAGCAACATTCAGCACCGGGGGCAGGTCAAGGCGAGGTAGTCACGTGGGGGGTGCCTGGGCCAATGGGGGGCCCTGGGAGGGCTCAGCACCCGCCTTGCCCCAACACGGGGCTCGCCTCTCTAGCTCATATAAGGTAAAAGGCAGAGTGGCCTCTGTGGCCAGGGAGCCGCAGGCAAGGGACTAAGGGGAGGGGGGCTCAGTGCCAGCTGCTTAAAAATGCCCTGTGGCAGTGAGGGGCTCCAGAGTCTAGGTCAAATTAGTTGAGAAGCAGTGACACCCTCAGCCACTCCCCACACAGGCTGGCTCCCATCTCCAGGCCCCAAGGAGCCACACCTGGACCAGACCCCAGGAAAGGTAAGCACCAGCGGCAGGCCTGGGATCCGTGGATGGGGGCTGCTGGGACATTTCCCCAGGGGGGGATGCTGCATCTGGGGGTCTTGCTCTTTTGCTAAGTGGCTTTGTGCCTTTCTCGACAGATTCTCTGGGTCTCAGTTTCCCCATCTGTACAGAGCTGGACTCGATTATCTCTAAGCATGCGTCTAGCTGATTGCCTCTAATTCTGTGGTCCTGGTGGCTTCTAGGATTCCTTGTTGCTATAGGTAATGGGGGGAAGAAGGGGCAGAGGGAGCAGACAGAGTTAACATCCTATCAGCCCGAGCTTCACCACAGCGCCCGAGTCTGGGGCAGTCTCCCTGGCTTCTACATAGGCAGTGCTTCTTCTGTATTGTATGGGGCTTCGATTTTGCAGTTCCAAGAGCTTGGGGCTCCTGGCTAGGAAAACGGTTTTCATATAGTGGTTTCAAGAAACAAAGCTGGGGACAAGGCAATGTACGCTCCAGCTCTTGCAGGCGGGCAGAGGTCCTGGGAAGCTGGGGTGCTGACCACGTGGAGCAGTGGGAAGGGATGCTAGTGAGAGGAGACCCATGCGCTTAGGCTCCAGCCCCAGCTCTGCTCTCAGTGCCTGGCTGTGTGGCCTGGAGCTGGCCCCTCCCCTCTCTGGGCCACATTTTCCCCATCTGGATAGCAAGACCATTGGACAAAATGGTCCCTCTGCAGATGTGGCTTCTGAGTTGTTTGTGCCTGAGGGACAGCCAGTATTGGGAAGTTCTCCCAGGAGGTCTCTGAGCCGAGTCTGCCCTTTGACCACAAGCTTGGAGTCCAAGCAGATGAAGCCCTGTGGGAGCTTTCGGGGGCTGAGCCCGAGTGAGGGTAGCTGAAGGTTCTGTGACTGCAGGCTTGGCCAGGCGGTGCCTCGAGGCCTCCAGATGAGCTTGGCTGCAACCAGCCTCTGGTGGGGAGAGGGCTGATCTCTGGATTCAGCCACACAGGAGTGCAGAACATGGAAGTAGGAAAGGGATGGAAAAGACAGCAGAGAGCTTCGGGGGATGAAGTGGTGGGCAGAGTTAACATGCTATCAGCCCGAGCTTCACCACGGCGCCGGAGTCTGGGGCAGTCTCCCTGGCTTCTACATAGGTAGTGCTTCTTCTGTATTGTATGGGCTTCGATTTTGCAGTTCCAAGAGCTTGGGGCTCCTGGCTAGGAAAACGGTTTTCAAATATCTCCTCTAAACACACTCTGGCCACCTCTGGAGCCCAGAACAGAACACATTCCTCTAGCGCCGGCCTCTGTCTGGTGCCCTCACCTTCCCGCTTCTTGTCACACAAGGCCCAAGGCCAACATGGTTCAGAAGGAGGCTCTGAATTCAACTGCCTGGGTCCAATTCTGGGCTTGTTTACTTACCGGACAAGTAACCCTGGGCACGCTGCTTGCCACTTGAGCCTCAGCTTCCTCCTCCGTAAAATGGGTACAGTTCTGAGCTTGTGGGGCTGTCATGAGGATGAGGGATGTAGACAGATAAAGCAGGATGAATGGGGTCGATGTTACATCGAAGTCAGAGACCGCACCTCCTGCGGGCAAGATGCCCTGAGCTATGTTGGGGGTGAAGTGGGAATGAGACCCAGCCAGGGGATGCCCAGAGTTGCTGTAGAGACAACAGGCTCTGGAAAGAGGCAGGAGGAATTGGAAGTCAGAGGCTGCAGGACACAGGAAAGTGACCTGCTTGAGATGCCTGAAGGACTATCTGAGGTCTCCTTTCCTGCCTTTCTAAGGCATTGTGGGGGCAATGTATCTGAACCACTACGCACTCACCTGCTGAAAGGAGACCCCGGTTGGGGCCTACGAATCTGCATTACAAGATCCCCATGAATTCCTATGTTCATGGAAGTTTGGGGAATGCCAGGCCATAGGGCAGCTTAGGACTCTTACAAACAGCCGAGGCAATGGAACCACAGAGAGAAAGCACCACTTTAGGTTATTCAGCGAGCTGATGGCAGCGCTGGAACAGAACCTGCCTCTCTGCCCAGCCAGGGATTCCATAAGGTGGTACAAATCAGGAGAATTAGGTTACATCATTTGTGGAGTTCTCATGAGGTCCAGGCATTACCTAAGATCTTCACATGAACTTGTTCATTCAATCCTCACAAGAGCCAGTGAGAAAGGGGCAATTATTATCCTCACTCCACAGATGAGGTACCTGAGGCAAAGAAAGGTTAGGCAGCTTGCCTGAGGTCACACAGCTCATGAGTTTTAAGTTGTGTGTGCCAGCTCCCCTAGAAGTCTCCCACCTCCTGCCCTGCCTTTTAGCTATCTCAAGACTTCCTGAGAACCCTCCGACGGACCTCACGGAACGGGCAGAATATGTGTGGTCGACGTCCCGGGAGTCAGATTCTGTGCTGAACAGCTTGCATTATCATTTCACTGTCCTGGGGATTCCTGTGAGGCAGGAATCAGCGTCATTCCATCACTCTCACTTTCTAGAGAAGGAAACCACTGCAGCTCACACAATGTCACACAACTAATAAGTGGCAAAGGGGATTTCAACCCAGTCTACGCATCTGCAGAACGCACACCCTTGGGCTGCCCACCGTGACACCTATGAGGGCGGTGATGAAGAATCCCACGTCGCAGAGGAGACGGAGGCCAGGAAGGAGGCCCTGCGGGAGCCTGAGCCCATCTTCGAGCTCTGAGGCCGCTCCTCTCCCTTCAACCCTGTTGCTGCCCCGCATTGGTCCCTCGGAGCCACACCACAGCCCTTTGGGCAAAATCAGCCCCTTCCCAGCCTGGCCAGTTCTGAGGAAAAGTGACACTGACACCTATTCTTTTTTTTTTTTTTGAGATGAGGTTTCACTCTGTTACCCAGGCTAGAGTGCAGTGATGCTTCTCAGCTCACTGCAAACGCCACCTCCCAGGCTTAAGTGATCCTTCCACCTCAGCCTCCCAAGTAGCTGGGATTACAGGTGTGTGCCACCATGCCTGGCTAATTTTTTGTATTTTTTTAATAGAGATGGGGTTTCGCCCTGTTGTCCAGGCTGGTCTCAAACTCCTGGGCTCAAGCAATTCTCTATCCTCAGCCTCTCAAAGTGCTAGGATTACAGGCATCAGTTACCACTCCCAGCCAACACCTATCCTTGAGGAACAGAAAGATCCAGGCCCCATACCATACATCATCACTGACTCAAGTGGCTGTGTCTGACTCCTGGGTGAGCCTGAGGGGTTCAGGGAGGTAATCTCTGAGGTCCTCATTGCTGAGCTGTGCCTGGGCATGGCCTCTTCCTGCAATTTTCCAACTAAACTGTCCCAGGGGTTCAGCGCCGTGGGGTGGTTCAAAGAACTGTGACAAAGGTTGTTCGGAATCGTTGCAATGACCATTTTTCTCCACATCTCCTGCTACCCATAAGCCAGAGTCTCTCTGTAGCTTATACCTAGAAGGGGTTCTGGGTCCTGGGGTGCAGGCCTGTCAGCTTTACAGGAGAGCACAAGATTGCTTTCCAAAGTGGCTGAACCAGGTTACGCTCCCATCAGCAGTATGTGAGCGTCCCCATCCCCTTGACCACACTTGAAGTCATCAGATTTCTTAAAGCATGTGGGTTGCACACTTTGTTTTGCATGTATCAAATTCATATAGTAAAAAATGTAAGGAAGACATGGAAATAAAAACATAGCTTTGTCTTCTATAGGCTGCTGTACACCTGTGCACGAGGGTGTCTAGAACTTTGCCCTCCATGCACAAGTTGCAGAATACTGTCATCAGGATACTTACAAAGGCCCTGGAATGGGAATGAGCACTGCCTATGTGGTCCTCCCCCAGCTCAGCAGTATGCAGTGGCCAGGATCCAATCAGAGGTCGCCTGGGAGGGTGAGTTGCAGGAATTTGGGGGAAAGAGCCCAAGGTGGCTGCTGCCTGCTAACAGCTTGTCTAGACAAGCCTCACGGGGCTTCACCACACATTGCGAGAGCCCCGGCCAGCCCCCTGCCCACTTGCAAAAGAAGCTGTTGGCAGCAACACTTCACCACCAGAAACCTTTACTCCAGTTTGAAATATGCCTTAATGCACAGTGTGAATTACCCACTCTCATGGCCCACAGAGGTTGACTCCTTCAGGCCCCCTTTTGTTCACATGAGGAAACTGAGGCTGACTCCGAAGCCAGGGTGCTTTCAGATATGGAGTGGATCCCTGTGCCCAAGTGACGAGGGGACTAGGTGGGTCTGGAGCAGGGCTGGAGCAGGCTCAGATGTAGTAGGCTGGTAGCTAAAGGTGCCAGATGTGAGCCAGGCAGCTGGGTTTGAGTCCTAGATCTGCATTATAGCAGCAATAGGACTTTGGGTGACTTACATAGGTGCTGTATGCCTCAGTGACCTCATCTGTAATATAGAGGTGACAAGAGTACTGTCTCATTGATCTATTGAGTTGTCTGGATTAACTCATTAAATTAATTAAAACTCATGAAGCCCTTGGAACAGTGACTGACACATATTAAGTACTCAGTAAAAAATAGCTGCTAAGGCCAGGCATGGTGGCTCATACTTGTAATCTGAGCACTTTGGGAGGCCAAGGCAGAAGGATCCCTTGAACCCAGTATTTTGAGACCAGCCTGAAGGTCACCATAAGGAGACTCTGTCTCTACTATAAGTTTTTAAATTAAATTTTAATAATAATAGTAACTGCCAAAATATGATTATTAAAGGCAGCATCTTCACAGTGCAAAGAGATGCTCTTCGGGGTATCACCTCTTTGGACTTTGGGGGATTAACTGCCCTTATTCCTTCAAAATAACACCTGCCATATATCAAGCCCTTTCAAGTACCTGGCCCTTTACCCAGCACTCTGAGGCAAATACCATTATCTCTCTAGGCACACAAAGGCTCAGAGAGGTTTAGTCATTTGCCCAAAGTCATACAGCCTGTACGAGGCCAAGCCAGGACTCAAACCCAGTTCTGACTAGTTCTAAAATTATGTGTTTAACTGTTGTACTCTCGGACCACCCACAGTGGGTCTGTGAAGCTGAACTAGCTCTGGTTCTGACCTGCCTAGTAGGGCCTTTGGCATTTGAGGGAGGAGGCCATTGGAAGTCCGAAGCCCCCTTCCAGACTAGGCATGATTGCAATAGGGAAGAGATAGACTCTTCAACTCCCCTACCCCTGCTCAGGCTCAAAAATGCAGACCCTGGGCCAGGCGTGGTGGCTCACACCTATAATCCCAGCACTTTGGGAGGCCGAGGCGGGTGGATCACGAGGTCAAGAGATCGAGACCATCCTGGTCAACACGGTGAAACCCTGTCTCTACTAAAAATACAAAAAATTAGGTGGGCATGGTGGCGCGTGCCTGTAATCCCAGCTACTCAGGAGGCTGAGGCAGGAGAATTGCTTGAACCCAGGAGGCGGAGGTTGCAGTGAGCCGAGATTGTGCCATTGCACTCCAGCCTGGGTAACATGAGCGAAACTCCGTCTCAAAAAAAAGAAAACAATGCAGACCCTGGCAAAACAGTCCTTCTTATCCAGAAGCACTCTGTAGGGTGGGCTGAGCAACTTTGAGGGCCTCGTCAGTCTTGGGCTGCCCCATGCTCTGCACAGCCCACCTGAGGTTTGAGGAAATGGCAGTCAGTTAGGCCCAGACTGGAGAAAGCCAGCCCACCATGGCTCCTCCCCAAGAACCCCCAGCCAGCCACAAGCCTAAGCCCCCTCCTTAAAGATTCCTCCTCTGGGCCAGGCACAGTGGCTCACACCTGTAATCCTAGCACTTTGGGAGGCCAAGGTAGGCAAATTGCCTGAGCTCAGGAGTTCGAGATCAGCCTGGTCAGCATGGTGAAACCCTGTCTCTTCTAAAAATACAAAAAATTAGCTGGGCATGATGGCACACACTGTAGTCCCAGCTACTCGGGAGGCTGAAGCAGGATAATCGCTTGAACCCAGGAGGCAGAAGTTGCGGTGAGCCAAGATCATGCCACTGCACTCCAGCATGGGTGACAGAGTGCAACTCTATCTCAAAAAAAAAAAAAAAAAAAAAAAATGAAAGTTCAAAACTGCTCTGCTGCCACATACTATCCTTCTCCTCCCCCTCCAGGGAAGCAATGACAGGGGTGAAGTGTCTAGAGAGAGGTTGCCTGCTGGCCTAGAGATGGCATCCACAGAGGCTATGACACCTGGAATGCCCAGCCCTGGCTGGGCTGCCAGGCTCAGAGGTGCCCAGTCAGCCTGCCCAAAGCATGCCAGCCACCAGGCATGTGATCCAACAACCCTGATGAGTCTAAGAGCATCTGCCCAGATGAGCTGAGCAAGACAGAGAGAAGGAGAAAGAGGCCAGCTAGAACCAGGAATGGCTCTGCAGCCAGCACACCTGGGTAAATGCCTCGCTCCTCTGGGGCCTCAGGCTGTGAGGTTTCATGGTTTGGGACAAAGAGGACAGATGAGGTCATTTCATGTGTGACAGCAGACACCTGGATTCTCAGAGAGGGAACTTCTGTGGAGCTGGGGGCGTGCCCTGGACAGACAGAGAAGACAGCATTCCAGGTGGAAAGCTCTGTGTACAAAGCTATCGAAGCAGGACTGCAGAGGCATTTTTGGAGAACAGCAGAGAAGCCCAGTTGGCTGGAACCAAGAGTTGGTCTGAAGTTCAGCAAGGCTGGAAGTTGGCAAAACAGGGAAGGTCTAGATTGTGTGGTGGCTTTGACAACAGGAATCAAAGCTTCAGAGCTTAGGAAAAGTCCTCCTTGGTATCTCTCTGTCCCTGGGAGGGAGTCCCTTTCTTTAGCCTATTTTTCCCCCTCCCCAAAACACCATCAACCAAGAACCCCAGTTCAGGGCAGAGACCTAGGAATTTGGATTATGGGCAACTCTCAGATGTCAGGCAATGAAGAGAGGAGAGCTCAGGTGGGACTAGGAGGGGTAGTAAGCCCGAGGGCTGCAGACACCATCTTCAGACCTCTCCAGAGCTTCAGATCAACTCGCTGTGGCTCACACCTGTAATCCCAGCACTTTGGGAGGCTGAGGCAAGCAGTACAGGAATTGAGGAGTTCAGGAGTTTGAGGTCAGCAGTTCGAGACCAGCCTAACCAACATGGCAAAAATCCATCTCTACTAAAAAAATACAAAAATTGGCCAGATGTGGTGGTGGGTGCCTATAATCCCAGCTGTTGAGGAGGCTGAGACATGAAAATCACTTGAACCTGAGAGGCAGAGGTTGCAGTGAACTGAGATGGCACCACTGCACCCCAGCCTCTGTCTCAAAAAATAAACATAAAAAAACACATTCAACTTACAATATTTTTCATTTACAATAAACTTATCAGGATTTAGTGCCATCATAAGTTAAGGAACATCTGTAGTGAGCTCCTCATCACCAGAGGTGTGTGAGCTTAGTAGGGACACCATAAAGAGAAGCCAAACATCAGAAGAGGTTGGGCATCATGGACTTCCCTACCACCAGCCTCAGATCTCACTTGCCAGCTCTAGCTGCTTTGAGACAATCATGAGTGGAGCCTTCCTGCAGCCTGGATGTCACAGTCCCAGCCAGACATGACATCAGTTCTGCCCTCACATTGCACAGGGGCCTCTTGGACCTCCCACCTCCTACCTCCCACTTCCTTTCTGCTGCTGCCTCCTGCTTTCCCAGGGGACACTAGGCCTGACCAAAGGGACTTGGATCCTGGTTGTGAGATGGAGGTCCCCAGGGAGCATTCAGCTGATGGCCTTCCGCCCAGCAGGAATGAGACGAAGGGGGCCAGGGTTCCTGGGAGCCCTGTTCACACGCTCTACAGAGTCTGCATGGAAATTCCAGGAGGGTCACAGGAAAGCTTCAAATTGAGAACCACAATGCTTTATTTTTTTCCCATTTCTCTTCTGTTCCATCCTTTCCCTCAGTAGTTAGTTGGAGGAGGGTGGCGGTCATAGGAGGCTGGGAAAGGAAAGCAAGCATCCTCTTGGGCTGAGTCACAGAAAGAGCATGGAGAGACGGAGGGTGTGGGGTAGATTAGGAGGCCCACCAGACAGGGCTTGGAGCGGTGGACAGCAGTGTGGGAGAGGATGGAGGAGTCAAGGGCATGGCCAGGCCTGTGAGGGTCCTGGAGCAGTGGGCAACTACACTGCCTGGGCAGGCATGCCTCCCTAGACACTCAAGACCAGAGCTGCCAGGGCCTGGGTTCAAGCTGGGTTCAGGAGTTAGCCCAGGGGTGTCTAGAATAAAGACAGAAGGATCTTGGGAATGGGGCTTCCAAGAATCTCAGGCAATGCGCCCCCACCTCACATGGACTGCAGAGCTCAGGGTCTTACAATATCCATCTCATTCCCTCTGGCGCCCCTGGTAGATGCTTCATAAATATTCCCAGTGTTGAATCCCATACCCATTGCATCATAGTCCTTTCAGAGCTGAGGGACCTTAAATAGCATCAAGGCCTATCTCCTCATGTTATAGATGCAGAGACTGAGGCCCAATGTCAGGGAGCAATGCTCCCAAAATCGTGCTGCCGGTGACCACATCCTTTGCTTCTTCTCTGCCTTCTAGCCAAAGATAGAGACTATGGTACACTTTTCACAGCCAAGGGCAGGGGACAGAGGAGAGGCAGGTGCCCTGGCAGGATGCAACTATCTCCAAGACATAGTTAGAGGACGGCAGCCTATCTTGAGTTCTGACTGTTCTGTCCAGGAGTTCCCTTTCAGTGGCCAGAGATGTTCCCCAATGCTGTTGGCCTCTTGCAGAGGAAAGAGCCTGAGGTGGGAAGGGAAACCCTTGATTCTATTCCTGGCCCAAGCTTTGCTTTATAGCTGTGAAATTCCCAGAGAGACAAAAAGCTAAGAAAACCCTTAAGATCACCCCCAGAGAGGGTCCACAGATGGCTCAAGGTCACACAGCAAACTAGGAATGGGCCTTGGATTTTCTGACTCCCAGGCCAGTGCTCTTGCCACTCACCACGCTGCTTTCCAGAATAACAGGCATATAAGCTGTCCTCGTGTGGACCCCAGCATTGATTTAGCTTGGCGGATTAAACTCCCACACAGGGAGCTACAATCTCTTCCCCTGGCTGGGACTCAGTTTCTTCTTCTATAAAACAGATGGCCAGGCATGATGGCTCATGCCTGTAATCCCAGCACTTTGGGAGGTCAAGGCAGGTGGACCACCTGAAATCAGAAGTTCAAGACCAGCCTGACCGATATGATGAAAACCTGTCTTTACTAAAAATACAAAACTTAGCCAGGCTTGGTGGTGGGCACCAGCAGTCCCAGCTACTCAGGAGGCTGAGACAGGAGAATCGCCTGAACCTGGGAGGCAGAGGTTGCAGTGAGCCAAGATCCTGCCACTGTACTCCAGCCTGTAGGACAGAGTGAGAGTGTGTCTTGAAAAAAAAAGACACACAGGGTGGACCAGATGTCTCTAGGAGCGCTTCTGCCATAACACTAAGGATCTACCAGGACCCTAGTGCTTTCCTGGGAAGCCTCTGCTGACACCTACCTCAACCCTATCTTCCCCAAAGGTAGGGCCACCCAGGCCAGGAAATCCCACCAAGTCTTCCCCACATTCTACCCTGTCCCACCCCAGACCCTGGGGCTGGACTTCATCCAGAACTACAGGCTCCAGCCCAGCTCCCCCTCTGAGGATCTGGACTTTTTCTTACCATAAAAGGGCAAGCGTGCCTCTCTTGGTCCCTGCTGCCAGCCCCGCTGGGGGAAAGACTGAGCTATTTTTAGAAAACTCAAGTGTTTGCTCCTGAACTCAAGATGGGGCATCTCTGCGCCTGCACCCTGGGAGCCCCTTCCCATCTTTCTTCCTCCTCCTTCTCCTCCCATCGCTATCTCCCTTCCTTTTCTCTTCCTCTCTGTCTTGCTCTCAGTCTCATCCAACCATCTCTCTTCCCTTTTCTCCCCCTATGCTCCCACCTTGAATTGCTGTTCTCTCTTCCTTCCGCCTCACTTCTTCCTTCTCCCGAAATCTTTTCATAGTTAGCTTCCCTCCCCCACGTCTCTCCCTCAGATCTCATTTCTGGTGGTGGAAAAAAGTAACACAGCTGCACCCCCACCCCTTCTTAAACACTATTTACAACATAAATTGCAAACATCCGCCATCTGGTTCTAGGAAGGCCCAAAAGCTATTTGGAGAAGGAAGTCATGATTATTCCATCTTCAAAGCAAAAGGAACTTAAAGGCTCTCTTCTCTCCCACCTTCCTCCCGTGGCCCCTTTGTTTAATATCTGACCGATCAAGATCCCTAGTGAGCAGAAGAGGTCAGGACATTTGCCGGAGTCCCAGCTGGACCTGTGACTGGCTGCATCACTTTGAGTTCCTTGCTTCTCCTCTGCATGCCTCAGTTTCCTCATCTGAACAATGGGTGAAAGACTAGGGTGCCTCCAGCACTAAGTTCCAAGACTTCAAGTACAGAAAATCCACTTGGTCCAGGTCACTGGGGCCTACTTTGGGCTGAGCAACGAAGGGTAGGATGAGGGCAAGGGAGTGGGAGGCAGTGAAGGAGCTCCATCCTCATCCCTTCAAGCACCAATTTCTCTCTCGCTCCATGGAGATCTATGCAGACCATTCACCTGCATTCACACCCACAATCACACTGGGGAATGGGGTGGGGTCACACTACCCCTCCATGTCTGATCTAGATGGACTCTGGACACTCCAGAGTCCAGTCCTGTCTCCACCACATCATGTAGATGCGAGCCCTTGAGGCCCAGAGAGGGGAAGACCCTTGTCGCAATTACACAGCGTATCTATAGAAAACCTATTACCTAGCCTGCTCCTCCTCCCACCCAACACATTCCAGAAGAAACCAACATTTGTATTATCTAGAAAGCATTGCCCAGTCCCAACAAAGCTCCTGGAATCCTGGAGGTCCCCTGTTTTTGCAAAGTTTACAGGACAAAGGGGGAATAATGCCTTTTTTTTTTTTTTAAGACAGTCTCATTTTGTCACCCAGGCTGTTTTGCAGTGGGGCGATCTCGGCTCACTGCAACTTCTGTCTCCCAGGTTCAAGCAATTCTCCTGCCTCAGCCTCCCCAGTAGCTGGGATTACAGGCACGCGCTGCCACACCCAGCGAATTTTTGTACTTTTAGTAGAGATGGGGTTTCACCATATTGCCCAGGCTGGTCTTGAACTCCTGACCTCAGGTGATCCACTCGCCTCAGCCTCCCAAAGTGTTGGGATTACAAGTGGGAGCCACTGCAACCTGCCAAGAACCAATACCTTTAACATGATGTGGATTTCTTTTAACAAACAGCACAGAGGGAAGAAATACGGGCAAGAGGCAGAACACCACCAAAAGGAGAAGCCCTCTTGCTTCCGGCAACAAATGGCGTTTCAGGGCTCAGATGGTATTCACTTATACTGACAATGCTTTCTCTGTTAACAAACCCCTCTCCACAAAGACTAACACACACCTAAATCTTGCCAAGAGATACTGACTCCAGTTATCACTCTGTAAAAATGATGTGATGAGTAGCTGGTCTTACAAGGGAGCTGTGAGAATGCATGTGGGGCTGCCTGGAGCCAGTCCTTACTAGCTGTGTAATCGGGAGGGAGTGCTGTGACCTCTGGAGCCCCAGTAAAGCGGAGGTAAGAATGGTACCTAATTATTCAAAACAAGGATCTATGAGTAAAGAAAAGAAAAATTAAAAGAATGGCACCTAATTCAGCCAGGCACAGTGGCTTATACCTGTAATACCAGTGCTTTGGGAGGACAAGGCAAGAGGATCACTTGAAGCCAGGAGTTCAAGACCAGCCTGGGCAATATAGCAAGACTCCATCTCTACAAAAAATTTAAAAATAAAAAATTAGTTGGGCATGGTGGCATGTGCCTGTGGGCCCAGCTACTCAGGAGGCTGAGGCGGGAGGATCACTTGAGCCAGGAGCTCAAGATTACAGTGAGCTGATTGCACCACTGCACTCGAGCCTGGGCAACAGGTTGCCCTGGAAAGCAAGATCCTGGAGAATGAGACCCTCTCACTTCAAAGATAAAAAAAAACGAATGGTACCTAACTCATAAGTTACTTTGAAGATCAGATGAGAAAAGCCTTGTAAAATAAAGCACTTGGCAAGTGTGGGGTGCATCAAAAGCACCCAATGACATGTTAGCTCTCATTACAGCTCGTCCCAGCGTGCCTGGTGCACAGGTGACGGCTTTTACCTTTGTCACTCTTTTCCCAGTTTCTGCCCTCACTAAAGGGCCAAGTGACAGGGATTCACAGGGATCCTGGTGGCTATTCCCCATGTGCCCCAGGGCCTGAGCGCTCGAGGCAAGGCTTGGGATTCTAGGCTGGGCAGGTCATGTTTCCCCCCCACCCCGTCTCTTCCCTTTTCCCTGCAATGCTCTTGTTTCTGCTTCAAACTGCGTTCCCAGGGCTTGCTCAAAACTCCCCGGAGCAACCCTCCCTGGGGAGGAAGTGGGGAGCGTGTGAGGCTGGTGAACTCATCTGGGTTGTCAAGGGGGCTGGAGGGCACTCTGGGAACAGAGGCCTGGGGAAGCTGTGCGACAAAGGGGACATGGAAGGGGCCAGTCAGGGGCTCCCACAGCTTCCCCAGATGCTTCTTCCGACCTTTGCTCTCTCCCGGCTTCTGCTCTTCCTCCCAAGGCTGGGCTTCACTGCGGCCCAGCCCCATGCTAATAATAGAAATGGCAGCCATTTATCATGGGCTTATGATGTGCCTGGAAATATGCTCGCACTTGACATCTGCCTCATTTGACCTTCACAAACAAGCCTGTGAGGTCGGAAACAGGCTCATGGAGGTGAAGACACCAGCTTTAGATCACACAGCTAGGAAGTGCTAGTGGCAAGATTCAAACATGGGTCTGCATGACTGCAAGCCCTGTGTCTTTTCTTTCCAGAATATGGTAGAAACCCTAGGGCCCTGGAGCCCAAGGAGAGCAAGGACTATAACAAGTACACAGGCGTGAGCAAGCTGAGGAAGGGGAACTGTGGGCAAAGAGTCCCTGTAGAAAGAACTGGGTGTGAGCACAGGTTTGTGAGCTTGCCTGGAGCCCCTGCCTCAGCCCTCTCCCCACTAAGGTGCCATCTGGCTCCCAGATGTGGCCCATTCCCAGACCCTCATGTTTCTTAGAAATGAGCAAGACCAGGAAAGGGCACAGGGGCTTTTGCAATGACCGTGGCGATGATAGCTTTGACTTGTGGTCATCCAGCCAGCCACTGCCCATGCCCAGAAGAAAGCTGGATTGAGCATGAAGAGCCTGGGTTCAAGTCCTCTCATGCTGTTCCCCAGGTGACCCTGGGCAAATCCCACAGGCTCTTGGAACTTCAGAAAGGGGAAAAATTATTCCTACCTCTGGTGCTGTCAGTGAGCGTGCCTTGAGTTATGGGAGGGAGCGTTTTGCAGGCTGGAAGCTTTACGTACATGGAAGGGGTCAAAGACAGCCATGAGCCTGTCCCTTTGGTCTTGGTCATCATGTTAACCCTAGGTTTTAATTTAGCCCTACATGGCTCCTTTCTTATGTGTGAGGCTGAGGTGGGGGCATTGGTCAGAAGGGCCTCTGGGAAATTTCTTTCAGGACAGTTCTTTTGTTAAGGGGCCTAGGTGTGCTGAGAAGGGAAGGTGGCCCCTCCTACTCTTGGAGCTTGGAGTTTCTCAGAAGTTCTCCCTTAAAAGCCAGGCAGGGCCGGGCGCGGTGGCTCACACCTGTAATCCCAGCACTTTGGGAGGCTGAGGCAGGCAGATCACTAAGTCAGAAGATCAAGACCAGTCTAACCAACATGGTGAACCCCATCTCTACTAAAAATACAAACATTAGCCGGGCATGTAATCCCAGCTATTCAGGAGGCTGAGGCAGAAGAATTGCTTAAACCCAGGAGGCAGAGGTTGCAGTGAGCCGAGGCCACTGCACTCAGCCTGGGTGACAGAGCAAAACTCCATCTCACACAAAAAAAAAAAGCCAGGCAGGCCAAGAAGGAATAATGGCTGCTCAGGGACCAAGGGAAGATCTCAGTAGGTTCAGCCCAAGACTTCTGAATACCTAGAGGTAGCCCAGGCCCATCCTCCATCCCTCAGAGCCTGGCAGCCTGGTCAGGACCTTCAAAGGCCACAACCGTACCTGTAAGGCATCCCGGTGTCCTTCTGACAGGTGGGATCTTTGCTTCTTTCAGGCAAGGGCACTAGCTGGTGAAAGCCACCGCTGCCACACTGTTGTTGGAGAAGCAAGAACTCAGGAGAAGCAGCCTCCTGGGACAAGAGGAGGGCCAGCAGCAGCCAGCTTGGAGACAGAACTGTGAGCCCACCCCACCTCCACCCTTCCAGTACCCACATTCGCTCCCCACCCCAGCCCACCTGCAGGCAGCTCCTGGAGTAACCTGAGTCCCTCAGAATAAACTCCCCACCCTAACCTCAGAACGACCAAGAAAGCAGGCCTCAGGATGATGAGAAGCAGCATGGGCCTTGGTAAAGGAAGGCCCCCACTGATTGGTGGCAGTGCAGGCAGTTCGGGCCTGTTAGGGTCTGGGTTGTAGGTAAAAAGAAGTTGAACCAAAGCAGGGAAATCCAACCAGGAGCCAAGAATCCAGTCTACCCCATCCTCCTTACAAAATGGCAATGCAAAGCCCATGTGATGTGGACATAAAGCCTCTGTTATTCAACTTGATTCAGTGAATAACAGACTGGAGAGAAATGTGGAGAATAATAGTCATCCTCCCTAGAAAGGAGTAAACAGAGTTCAGCTTCAGAAGCAGGAAGACCTGGGGCTATGTGATCTTGGAGGAGTCAATCAACCTCCCTGAGCCTAGTGATAAAGAGCCAACTCTCAGGGCTTTGAGAGGGTTTGTGAGATTGGGCTGGCATCCCCAGCTGCAGCCCTTGGCACATTGTGAAACTCAGGAAAATGGAGCAGTTTTTACCATTCATCACATTATTCCTACACTTGTCAATGTTTAAAGATACTTTCAGGCCGGTCACGGTGGCTCACGCCTGCAATCCCAGCACTTTGGGAGGCTGAGGCAGGTGGATTACGAGGTCAAGAGATCAAGACCATCCTGGTCAACATGGTGAAACCCCATCTCTACTAAAAATACAAAAAAAAAAAAAAATTAGCTGGGCATGGTGGCGTATGCCTGTAGTCCCAGCTACTCAGGAGGTTGAGGCAGGAGAATTGCCTGAACCCAGGAGGCGGAGGTTGCGGTGAGCCGAGATCGCGCCATTGCACTCCAGCCTGGGTAACAAGAGCGAAACTCCATCTCAAAAATAAATAAATAAATAAAGATACTTTCATGCTTACGGTGGAACTCATAGGGTTAGGTGCCAGTTCCATAAGACAAGAGGAGAAACTGAGGCCTGGGGAGGTGAAAGCATTCACTCAGAATTGCACGTACAGTCAGTTGCAAAGGGGAATTCTGGCACCAGCTCTCATGTGGATGGAAAAAGTGCAGGAAGATTTGGAGGTGAGCAGAGGAGAAGGGAGGAGGAGGCAGGTTTCCAGGAAAGGAGCTGACACTGGGATGTGGGACAAGGCCCAGGCCTGTCTTACATAACAAGGTCCACCTGTTCACCCCTCCATGCCCCACACATGTGCAAACGTGTGCCCCGGCACAGTGCACACCCGGTCCTCCCTCACTAGCAAATGAGCCACAGAGACTGGGTCTAAACAAATTGGATTAGGAGGGCTGCAGGCGCCTCCTCCCCCCAACTGTCCGGCTCTGACACTAACCAGGCCTGCGGAACTGCCAGCTGGGATCTCTCAGACACACTGACAGTCGGTTCTTGGCTCCCTCACCCCACCATGGGCCTCAGGAAGGGGGTCTGGGTCCGAGAGGATGCCACAGTGATGGATGGGGTGAGGGAGGTTCCAGGGCTAACTCAACAGCACACAGGATGTTAGTGCTTTTGTGAGGCACATTTCCGAGCTGTTCCCAGGCCCACTCCTTCCTCCCCTCTCCCCCTCCTCTCTGACAGCCTCTCCTATGGCCATTGCTGCTGTCTGGGACTTGGGCCCAGCCTGAGGCTCCAACCAGAGCCCAGAGCCCTGTCCTTGAGCAGATCCACTTCATCTCTTAGTCCTGCAGCTGGGCTGAGCGGGGAGTGGTCAGCTCAGAAGACACTGACCTGGAGATGAGATACAGGGGATGCTTCCGTAGGAAGAAGGAGCTTGTGGACAGACAATGCGGTCTTAAAGGTGGCATCTCGGTGCGTTCTCATCCCTTGTTTCATTCCATCCTCAGAATGTGGCTGGGAGTGAGGGGATGGCTGTGACTCCCAAAACTTCTTTACTTGATGATTCCACAATATCCCTTTCTGAGAGCCTGAGCCTGTGCCGCACCCTGTGTGATGTGCCAGGAACACCAGGGTGTTCCCCTTCCTTCATAGAACAGCCTCCTTCAGGCTGGGTCATTGGGCACTGGGGCCTCTCTGGTCTTCCAGGGGTGCAGCTTCACAGAATCCCTTTTCCATAAGGCACGTGGAAGTGACTGGAGTGGGAGCCTTGACAACCAGCCAATCCAGAACACAGACCTTGATGTCAGACACGAGTTCAAATCCTGCCTTGCTCCCTTTCAGCTGGAAAGCTGCTGTCAGATAACTTAGCCTCTCCAAGCCAGTTTTGCCTTCTGCGAAATGAGGATACACAAGCTGCCACCTCACAGAGTGACTGTGAGAATTAATTCTTATTTTTCACATCCTCATTGGACAGAGGGAGACACAGAAGCCCGGAGAGGGAAAGGGCTTGGTTAGGATCACATCATGAGCTGGGGTTTAAGTCAGGATGGGGTAGGTCCCCTCTTCTCCGGGTGTTCCTCTCCCCCATCTCTTAACTCAACATAAATCCTTCCCAGTTGCCCAGGTTGTCCAGGCAATTCCTGGCGCTTATGCTGGGGCCTGCCCTCCACCTTCAGCCCTGCTCTGGCCTCTTCAGCAGCAGAGTCCTGGGTGACCAGCAGTGGCCCCCAGCCCTCGGAGTGGCAGTGGAGGGTGGGGGAGCACTGCGGCCGGCTCCCAGCCCAGATCACCCTGGCCATATAAGGGAAGGAGCCCAGGGAGGCCTCCTGGCTCAGGTCCCGAGAGAAAACCCAGACAGCCACTGTTTATTTTCTCCTGCCCAGCTCACCCACGCTTCCCTAAGCCTCCTGACAGAAGACAGAGGTTCCCCCCAGACCAGCAACAGTTCCTGAAGACATGGGGAGCACAGAGGCAGAAACAGTCCATCTACCCACAAGCTGTCAGCAGCCAGTACCCAGAGCCACCAGGTAAAACTGAGGCCACCTGGTTCAACGTTGCCTTTCACAGAAGGGGAAATAGAGCCACAAAGAGAAGGGCCTGGTGAGAAGTGGAACCCAGGACTCCCAAGCGGTGTCTCTCAACCTTGGAATCCAGAGTAGGAGGGAGCCTTTGGTGGGGTAAGTGGAATGGAGGGGCGCAGCCATAGACCCCTCTTCTCAGTGAGGCCCTCATGTGATGGAGGCAGGGGTTGGGACAAGTGCTAAGTATGCAAGACTCAAGGGAAGAGCTCCTGGAGCCAGGAGAAGCACCTCCCTTCCAGCCCCTCTGCCCCTCCCCTCAGCACAGCTGCACTGACTCCTCCTCCAGGAAGCCTTCTTAGCTTCCCTGGTTGGGAGGAGAACCTTTTTGTCCTCTAAGTGTGCTTGGCTGTCCTTTCTTGAGTGCCCCTCCCCTCTCCCCCCCCACTTGGGTCTGCCCCTATTCACCTTGCCAGGCATTTTCCTTCTACTCCACCCGACTGAGGTCCTCCAGGTCAAGGATGGTGTGGCTCTCAGACCCACTTCCCCTTGGGACATAGAAGAAGCCCTGCGCTGAATAGACAGGTGAAATGATTAGACCCTGCTCCCAAACCAAAGGTCTAGCAAACCGGTCAGGGCATGAGCCATCCAGCGTAGAGGTTAACATGAGGGCCCTGGGTTGGCAACCCCAGCTGAGTCCCCAGCTCTGTACCCTTGGAAAATTCCCTTCCCATGGAGCCTTGGGGATAGGGACTTACACAGTGAAAACATTTAATATCCAGGTCTAAACAATTCCACAAATGACCATGCATATTACATTCACTATCTTTATGATTATTCCAGACACAAAGGAACAGAACGAGGCACTGATAGCCAGGGGTGAGCAGATTCAAGGGCCTCAGAGGAGAGGGAGGCAAACACCCTCCGCTGGTCGGAGGCTGCGCTTCAGCCCTCGTCCCTGCATTAGTTTCTCCCACAGAGGCGTGGGGCTGCCTCCCATCTAGTTCCTGTTTCTAAACCCAGGGGAGATGCTATCTTTGCTGGAGTAATCTTGGCCGACATCCTGGAGTGGAAATGGCCTTCAATTCCCCTGGTCCATGCTCAGGCCCGGTGACCCTAGAACAATCCCCTTCCCTTCCTGGTCCTCCATGTAGAAGCAATAACATTCCTTGACAGGGGCACCAGCTGTTCTGATGATTAAATGGGATCAGACACTGTTTCCTAAAATCAGTCATTCAGATTCCCCTTATTTTATTTTTTTTCTGTATGCAATTATAATATTTTAAAATGTAAGATGAGCCCCTCCTTTTTTTTTTGAGACGGAGTGTCGCTCTGTCACAAGGCTGGAGTGCAATGGCGCAATCTCAGCTCACTGCAACCTCCACCTCCTGGGTTCAAACGATTCTCCTGCCTCAGCCTCCTGAGTAAAGGGATTACAGGCACCTGCCACCACGCTCAGCTAATTTTTTTTAGTAGAGGTGGGGTTTCACCATGTTATCCAGGATGGTTTCGATCTCCTAACCTCGTGATCTGCCCACCACAGCTTCCCAGAGTCCTAGGATTACAGGCATGAGCCATCATGATCGGTGGATGAGTCCTTTTTAATACATAGAAATAGCTACTGTATAAACAAAATTGTAACATTGTACATAACTAGGAAATAAAGGTAACCACAAATACAATAAAAATGAAACAATGTTATTATACTTGAACCTGACAGTGTGGCTTGCAAGGCCCTGGACCTGAAGCCTGGGTGATAAGCGAGAGTTAGAAAGGTGTCACAGACATGACAGCACCAAGCTGAGGCTTCCTACCCTACAGTAAATAGGACTGAAGCAAATTGACACGGAGCAACAGCATGGATCTGTTGCTCCGTGTCAATTTGCTTTCCATTCTGTTGTGTCCTGTCTTCCAGCAGAGGTCACAAACTCCCCAAAATCACTCACCCACCTGCTGCACTTGGGAAGCCAAAGGTAGTTTATGTGGAAGGGCTTTGGAAACAATCAGGCACCAAGCAAAGGCAGAAGACACACTTTGTCAGTTTAGTTCTTGGCAGCAAATCATCTCTTTTTCAAGATAACCCTGCTTGATTCCTACTGAAATCTCCTTGCTGATCATGCTAAGCTCTTCTCTCCCAGGGCCAGTGGGAGCCATGGAGAGTGGAGTAGACCAGTTGTCTGTGACTCCCCACCAAGGGAGTCCAATGTTGGAACACTCCCCAGCCAAATGCAAGGTTTTTTAAAAAAATCTATTTATGTATTTGTTTAGAGACAAGTCTATGAGCCTGGCTAATTTTTTGATAGAGGCAGGATTTCATTGTGTTGCCAGGCTGGTCTTGAATTCCTGGGCTCAAGTGATCCACCCATTTTGGCTTCCCAAAGTGCTGGGATTACAGGCGTGAGCCACTGTGCCCAGCCGCCAAATGCAGTTGAAAAGAGTTCCTGCAAGAGAATTCCTCAGAAGAGGAAAGCAGTTTTCTGGCTGGAAATACCTTAGACAGAGGCTGTCCGCTCCATAGGCTGTCAGAACTGACCTGCAACCATGATAGACCAGAGGAAAACACTCTTTCCACTCTTCTCAGAGTGGAGCCTGACTTCAGATTTCTGATAGAGGTGTAAGAGACAGTCTTTTTTTTTTTTCCTTAAGAGACAAGGGCTCTCACAAAAAAAAAAAAAAAAAAAAAAAATCCAGGTGTGGTGGCTCACACCTGTAATCCAAGCACTTTGGAGGCCAAGGTGGGTGGATCACCTGAGGTTGGGAGTTCAAGACAAGCCTGACCAACATGGTGAAACCCTATCTTAAAAAACAAAAAAAAAGAGAGAGAGAGAGAGAGAGACAAGGGCTCTCTGTGTTGCCCAAGCTGGTCTTGAACTCTATCTAGTCTCAAACGATCCTCCTGCCTGAGCCTCCCAAAGTGTTAGGATTACAGGTGTGAACTCAGCTCTGTTTTTGTTTTTTTCAGGAGGTATATTTTTTCTGTTCTCTCTCAGCCCTGAGGAAAGGCTACCCACTGCTTCAGACATTCCTGAAAATATATGTCATCCAACATCAAGGCCACCACGGTGACCACTGAGCAATGCAAGAAGGTCCTCCAGGGTGTCCTGAGATCTTGGCAAGGCAGGATGAGTGAGAAAGGGCTTTGCCAGCTCATCTGAAAGTTCCCACCCAAGCCAGGCCCAGAAAATAAAATGATTTATCTACATGGTCATCCAGTCAGCTACCAAATGGCATTACCTGGGTCCATCAGCATGTACAAAGCCATGGGCAAGACCCAGGGCCCCCTAAATTAACAAGCCATGGGCACTGTCCTCAGGAAGTGGAGATCTAGCCAGGTCAGACCCACACACAGATAACACTGATACTAGAGATAATGAAATTGGGAAATATGATTCAGTCATTCAACCTGGGTTCATGTGGTGTCCACACCACCTGGCCCTGATTTCGGTACTGAGCACAGTTGACAGGGTCCCTTTCCCTCATAGGTGAGCCATGCGGTCCACAGGTGGAGGTGGTTGTAAGTGAAATCCACATCACCAGCATGGTAAAGGGTTAGAAAAAGGGCACAGCATGGGTGAGAACATGGAGCAGAGGGTGCTGATGGATAGAGAAGTCAAGGAAGAACTGGGCATGGTGGCTCATGCCTGTAATCCCAGCACTTTGGAAGACAAAGGCAGGCATATTCCCCTGATGTCAGGAGTTCTAGACCAGCCTGGCCAATATGGTAAAATTCCTCTCCATCAAAAATACAAAAATTAGCCAGGCATGGTGGCGTGTGCCTGTAGTCCCAGCTACTTGGGAGACTGAGGCCTGAGAATCGCTTGGACCAGAGAGGCAGGGGTTGCGGTGAGCCAAGAGTGCACCACTGCACACCAGCCTGGGCAACAGAGGGAGACTCTGTCACAAAGAAAAAAAGTCAAGGAGTGTTTCCCAGAGTGTCCACTTGATTAGAGAGCTAGCGCAGGAGGAGGAGCTGTGCAGGGGGAGTGAGAAGGAGCAGCACAGTCCCTGGGAAACCCAAGGTTGGTGGGCCAGGGCTCCCTGGGAGAATGAAAGGACATCTGCGAGCTGTAGCCCAAGAGGAAGAAGCCACTGGAGCCAGAGGCGGCAGGCCCTCGCAGGCTTTGGTGAAGGCATCAGAATTTAGCCTGAGGGCAGTGGGGAGCCCTTAGCGATATTAAGCTTGAGAAAAATATGACCATATTTGCATTTTGAAAAATCATTATGGGAAGATGGTTGGGAAGAGAGGAGGAGTGGCAGAAGAAAGCTAGGTTGGAGACAATTGCTCAATGATATAAAATGTTAAGTACTTGCCGGGAGCGGTGGCTCACGCCTATAATCCCAGCACTTTGGGAGGCCGAGGTGGACGGATCACAAGGTCAAGAGATCGAGACCATCCTGGTCAACATGATGAAACCCCGTCTCTACTAAAAATGCAAAAATTAGCTGGGCGTGGTGGCGTTCACCTGTAGTCCCAGCTACTCCGGAGGCTGAGGCAGGAGAATTGCTTGAATCCAGGAGGCGGAGGTTGCCGTGAGCCGAGATCGTGCCATTGCACTCCAGCCTGGGTAACGAGCGAAACTCCATCTCAAAAAAAAAATTAAAAAAAAAAAAGTGAAGTACCATGAATGATGCTGTTTTGCTGGGATGAAGCATGCAGCATGAAGGTGGGACATGGCATTGAAAGGTGGGTTAACATATTAAATAATTCCATGTGGCTGGTCCGAGTGCAGTGGTGTTTACAACTAATTGATCACAACCAGATTTCTTTGTTCCTTCTCCACTCCCACTGCTTCATTTGACTAGCCTAAAAAAAGAAAGAAAGAAAAATATATAAATAATTCCATTTGTTGAAATATTAGAATAGACAGATCTATAGAGACAGAAGGAGAGTGGTCTGCCCAGGACTAGGGGTTGTCTAAAGATAAGGGGCTTCTTTTTGGGGGGTGGTGAAATAACCTGAAATCTATTGTGGCATTGTTTGAATCTATTAAAACCCACTTAATTGTACTGATTAAATGTTCTCCTTCTAAATTAAGCTGTCTTGAAAAGAAAAGGATGGTCAGGGTTTGGTCCTAGGGACTCAAATGGCAGGCCATGCACAGGAAACGCAGCTGTGGGGAGTTACAGCAGCATCCTGAGCAGAGCTGGAGGGGTGGAGCCTGGGTCCCCTCTAATGCCCCTTCTCCTGGCCAGGTTGGAGTCCCACCGCAGGCCAGCAGAGCGGAGCAGCACGGCCCTGTCTCCCAGCCTGAGGTGCAGTGCTGCATCTCTGGTCAGTTGGGAGTCTGAGATGAAGCACTGTAGCTCAGGAAGAGAGAAGTTGTTCTGCAGCCACCAGCCTGGGGGTGGTAAGTGCTGGGGGCCTGGGGGTGGTAAGTGCTGGGGGGCTGGGGGTAGGGCTGTCCCAGGAAGGACAGAGTGTTTCCAGACTCTATACTGTCAGCGACTTGTGATACTGGGGAAGTTCCTTGACACAGGTTCCCCTGGTTCCACAATCCGCCTCACTGAGTCTCAACGTGTCCTGGCTCCTCTGTGTACCCCAGTGAGTGTTAGCATTTCCCTAGCATCCTGCATCCGCTTTCTCTTTCTGAGTCCATGGCAGACACAGCTAATCAGTAAAGTCATACATTCTTTTTTCTGAGACACAATCTTACTCCATCACCCAGGCTGGAGTGCAGTGGCATGATCTCAGCTTGCTGCAAACTCCTCCTCCCAGGGTCAAGTGATTCTCGTGCCTCAGCATCCCAAGTAGCTAGGATTACAGGTACACGCCACCACACCCAGCTAATTTGTGCAGTTTTAGTAAAGATGGGGTTTCACCATGTTGGCCAGGCTGGTCTTGAACTCCTGACCTCAGGTGGTCCGCCCTCCTTGGCCTCCCAAAGTGCTGGGATTACAGACAGAAGTAACTACACCCGGCCAGGCACCCATTCTTGAAATGTTCTCAGATGCAACTTCAGAATCCTCAGCAATGAGCCCTGGAGAGCCACTTAATAGTGGCTGATGCACAGCTGACACTCATTCAACATTTCTGCAAACTATTCCTAAAAACCTCTCAGCCCTGAAGACAAAAGTTCTGGCCTTTGAGTCAGGGTCTTCACTCTGTGCTTCTATCCTTGGCTCTGGGGTATTGCTGAAACCAGTCCAGGCACCTCACAAATATCTGACTTCTCCACATGCTTCAGAAGTGCAGTGAGCAGCAGAGGAGAGCCATGGAGCCAAGCACAGTTTCATTTAACCTCCCCAAAAGCTTGGGAAGTGGGTGGTGTTATAGCCCCATTTTACAGATGTGAAAAACTGAGGCTCATTTAAGTAGCTCACCTAAAGTCACATATTGATTGTGCTGAACTGAGACTGTACCCTGATCTGCCTTCGGATCCATGTTTTTACCCATTGCATATGATTATGGAACTGGGACAGGGAAGCAGGCAGAGAACATTCTAAATCCTGCTCCCATCTTGTCTTTACATCTCAGGTCACTTTTAGCAAAGACAGACCCACACACTTGCCATTAATCCCATGGTCTTCCTTCCTCCTGCCCCCTCCCACATAATTTTATTTATCTCACCTCTCCAGTAGGTCCTAGACTCTTGCATTTTAGCATTAAAGAAGGCCAAGGCTCAGAGGTTAAGCGACTTGCTGGAGATCATCAAAGCGGAAGGTGCCAGACCCAGGCTTGGACGTGAATGCTTGCTTTAAATTCACTCCTCTGGCAGGAGACTGGGGAATACACACGAGCCAGGCAGACAGCAGTGGGCAGTCCTGAGGGCAGGGGCGCCGGAGGGTTTCTGGTACTTTCCAGGGCAATTGAAGTTCCAGTCACTACTCCCTCCAGAGCAACGAGCCCCGACCTGCGATGTTTGGCACCCACACTGGCTGCTACAGATGGGACTGGATGCAGAAGAGAACTCCAGCTGGTCCTTAGGGACACAGCGGCCTTGATGCTGAAGGCCATTCGCTCCCACCTTGTCCTCACGGTCCAGTTTTCCCAGGAATCCCTTAGATGCTAAGACGGGGATTCCTGGAAATACTGTTCTTGAGGTCATGGTTTCACAGCTGGATTCGCCTCCTTCCCAGCCCAGAGTTGCCCCCCATGGGGCCTTGGCTGGAGCACGAGATGAGGGTTCAAGAAGAAAGCTGTCCCTGGAGGTAAGAGGGCTTGTGAACCATGTTCCCAACCTTTGCATTGCTTTTCTTTCCATCATGTCTATTTCATAACATCCCTGTGAGACTGGATGTGGGAACTTCAGCACTGCCGTACTCTTGGGAAACTTGCCCAAGGCTACCCAGATGAGCAGCGGTTGAACCGGGACACCATCAGGCATGCCTCTTGTCTCCACCACACCCTCACCCCACTTCCCAATGCTGCTTGCGACAGGGGCCGCAATATTGCCTCCACATGACTGATAAACTAGTAAACACACATGATTTCCTTTTTAAAGTGTATTCAGTCAGTTAGGTAAGTGAAAAACCGTAAGCCTTCATTCGATTTGGAATGCAGCCAGAGAAGAAATGAAAAATTTTTCAAGGTAGAGAAGATAAAACTCAGATCGCCCTCTTGTGGTGCCTCTACCCACCCCAGGAACACTAGAGCTTTTCCCCTGCACGTGGTGATCTCTAATCTTGCTGCAAGATATGGACACACACACACACACACACTGAGCTTCCTTTTGCCCCCCGCTTGGGAGTTCCTGGCTTCAGAGAGCTATGATTGTGCCTGTAAATAGCCACTGCACTCCAGCCTGGGCAATAGAGGCAAACCCTATCTCTAAAAATATACACGAATAATTTTAAAAGTCAGCCTCTCTGAATGCCTATAAAGAATTCTAGCTAACTGAATGACAAAAGACCTAACGTGATCCAGGTGCAAAATTAGAACTTTCCCCAAACTCTTGCTAGGGCTTTTCACGGAGTTGTAGAAAACGGCAGTAGTTGCCAAGGCCCCAGAACCCTCATTACAGGGTCTGACTCTCACATTGCCAGGGACCAGGCGGCTTCCACAGCTGTCCCAAGCTGTGTTTCTCACAGGCCACATTGAAGCCATTTATGAAATGAGACTTCCTCTACCTAATCCAGAGAGACAGGTCTGGCCTGACCATGGAGAAATCAGATTTGCTAATAATCATGATAGCTTCCACTCCGCAACTGGTCACGATCTGCCAGGCGCTGTGCTAAACACTTCCACAGGCCTTGTCCAATCCATCCTGATAACACCCCAGCGAAGCAGGCTCTGCTGTTCACTCCACTCCACAAAGCCAAGGCTGAGAGAGGTTGACAGACTTACCTAAGGTCACACAGCTAAAAAGTTGCAAAGCTGGGATCCAATCAAATCTGTGTTTGTGGGTTTAACTATCGTGTTCTTGGCCCCAACCCCATTTGGCCTAGCCTGGCTGCTGGGCTGCCTCGCCGTAGCTTCCCCTGGAGAAGAGGAAAAGCAAGCCTTCCTTGAGACCCAAGTGGTCTCTCCTGTGTTCTGTGATAATAATAAAGTCCTGGTCCTTGGCTTCTGTCCTGTTTCTTTCTGGGAACTTGGGGAAGGTGGGAGGAGGAGAAGGCAGGGAAAGAACCTGACAGGCCCAGCTGAAGCACCCCCTAGTGCTTCCACACTGCCAGACACTTTCAGAGGCCACATAGATAGCAGTCAGCACCCACATCCCGGCAGTGGGAGGCCCCAGGAAGCAGCCATGTCTGCGGATGCTTCCCTGATGTCAAGGGTTAGGGGACAGAGAGTGTCCCTTGAGGTTCAGTGAGGGTTAAGGGGCACTTGGGGTCTAGCCACGTCAACCCCTCTCTGTCTGTCACAATGGTGTGATTGACCAGGTCAAATAGGAAAGAGAGTGAAATGTGAGGCCAGTTCACATCTCACACAGGTGTTTAGATTCACAGTGGCCTCCGGACATTAGCCAGGCCCTGCAGTAACACTGAACATTAGCTGTACCATAGTCAGCATGGCCAGCACTTGAGGATACTTTTCACGTGGTTATCCACCTTGGCATGAGCGTCCAAACTCTGCCATATTTTAAGGAAAAAAAAAACACCTGAAAAATCACTGTGTTAGTCCATTTTCACACTGCTAAAAGAATACAAGCTGAAACTGGGTGATTTGTAAAGAAAGGAGGTTTAATTGGCTCACAGTTCTGCATGGCTGGGAAGGCCTTGGGAAACGTACAGTCATGGCAGAAGGTGAAGGGGAAGCAAGGCTCAGCTTACACAGCGGGAGGAGGGAGGGAGAGCAAGGAAGTGCTGCGCTTTAAAACCATCAGCTCTCAACTCACGTGAGAACTCACTCACTATCACAAGAACAGCATGGGGGAACCACCCCCAGGATCCAGTCACCTCCCACCATGTCCCTCCCTTGACACCTGGGGATTACAAAGTGGGGACACAGAGCCAAACCATATCACCTGCCTCTCACCTGATGGTTCCCAGATTCAAAGGGCATCCCCACATCTCTCTCGTGCATCCCAGAAGGAGCTGAGAGGAGACCTGGGTAGCAGCACTTCACTACTGAGGGACCTGAGATTCCACAAGGCTACAGGCCACTGAGGACCCAGGGAGGGAGGGCAGGGACAGACCCAGGCACTCCAGGCCCTGTCCACCGGCCGCTGCATCTCTTTCTCCTTCAGCCTTGAAACAGGACCCAACCAGATGCTGGGGCCTTCTCAATGCTCACAGTCCTTGTCCTTGCCATAGTTCCTTCTGGAACCTCCTTTCTACATGCCTCAGGAATGGATCACCAGCTCTGATGGGGTTTCTCAACTCCCACAGACAGGAGACACGCTGTGGTTTGAGATTCCTGGGGGTCTCAGCGTTGGGAGTAGACAGGAATAATGGCAAATATCCAGGTAAAGGAGCAGCTTCTGTACTCATTCAGTGCCTCTAAAGCACTTACTGCGTGCCTACCTGTGCTTGAGGCTGGAGAGACAGCTGTGAAAAAGACAGCCAGAGAACTCCTGTGTGGGAGGAGACTCCATCACTGCGTGTAAATACGAGATCCTGCACCCCGCTTGCAGATACAGGGTTGAGATCATTTCTGAGCACAGCTCTAAAAGTAGTAACACTTTCAAACATATCCCTCGATGCCACCATGGGCCTCTATTCTACAGAGACGGAATGGGCACCCCATGTGACAAGCCTGGTGAAAAATCCCCAGGACAGAGCCCCAGGCCCAGGATCTTCCCAGATGGAGGGGCCTTCCTTTTACTTACAGGGAGGTGTGGACAAGGGGGCATGGCATTGGCAGGGGGAGAGGGTGCCCTCTTGTGGCCTCCCTGAGAGGACACGTTTCCTTGCTTACAAGGACTTTGTATTATTCATGTTATCCAAAACTATTATCTAACACATTTGTGTAGGATTTTGCATTTCAAGATGAACTTTCAATTAATTTTTTTGAGACAGGGTCTTACTCTGTCACCCAGGCAGGAGTTCAGTGACAGAATCATGGCTCATTGCAGCCTCCATGCCCTGTGCTTAAGCAATCCTTCTACCTCAGCCTCGCAAGTAGCTGGGACTGCAGGCACCACCACAGCCAGCTAATTTTTTAAGTACTTTGTAGAGACAAGGTTTCACTATGTTTCAGACTCCTGGGCAATCAAGTGATCCTTCCACCTAGACATCCCAAAATGCTGAGATTGCAAGTGTGAGCCACCGCTCCCAGCACAACATGCACTTTCTATCCTGTGACCTCATTTGATCCTTTCTGTGAGATGCATATTGTCATTACGCTTTTTACAAGAGCCAGAAAGTTTGGACAATACTTGTTATTAAGATAATAGTGGCCACACACAGCAGCTCACACCTGTAATTCCAATACTTTCAGAGACCAAGGTGGTGGATCATTTGAGCCCAGGAGTTCAAGATGAGCTTGGGCAACATGGCAAAACCCTGGAGATTGGAGATGCTTCCTTGATGTGGAGGGTCAGGGGATGAAGAGTGTCCCTTGAGGCTCTCTGTCTGTACAAAAAAGTACAAAAATTAGCCATGTGTGGTGGTGTGCGCCTGTAGTCCCAGCTACTCTGGAAGCTGAGGCAGGAAGACTGCTTGAGCCTGGGAGAGCGAGGCTGCAGTGAGCTTCGATCACTCCACCACACTCCAGCCTGGGCAACAGAATGAGATCCTGTCTCAAAAAATAATAATAATAACAAAAATATAACAAAATAGTACTTACAATTTGTTTGTCCTTTAACTCTGTGCCCCTCTCTGTTAATTTATTTTACATATATTATCTTGTTAGTGACATCAACCTGTGAGGTATCTATTCTGGTCCTTCTAGAAGAAACAGCCACTGAGGTAAATATTCTGGTCCTTATAGATGGAGGACAAGTTCAGAATGTTAGAAGCATGCCCAGGGTCCCCTAACTGGTAAGTAGCTACATCAGGAAGCAAACGCAGGATACCACCTTCCATACTGGCTTGGAAAGAGCAGTGTTCAATCTGGTCCTCCAGTCTCTGGGAGATGCCCCAGCTGCCGCTGGCCAGGAAGAAGGCCCTGGGAGATTTCGCCCATCAGAATTGACTGCGCATTCCCAACAAGTATCTGAAGATGCCGTTGGCTTTGGAACCAGTGGCCCCTCTGGAGGCATCACCTTCCACCTCCTTCTGTGCCCTGAAAACATTGGCTTAGGAGAAAGACCTTTTTTCTGCTTCAGAAAGAGAGATTCCCCAGGATCCCTGGGAGCTGCCTTTCTGAGAAGCGGACAGCAGGAAGGGCACCCTGAAATGGCTGCAGGGTATGGCCCAATGATCCACCCAAAGGAGGTAAAATAGGACGCTCCAGTCCTGAATAATACATGGACACACAAAATGCTGCCTGCTATTTTACAGCTACTTTAGAGAAACCCTAAGAACTCTTTCTTTAGTGTATGTCACAGTATCTAGAAAGCACTTGGCCTTCAGTGTGTGTTTATGTATTTGACAAATGTTTATGGAGGGCCTGCTACATCCCAGGCACTGTTTCCAGCACCCAGGATGGAGGGGTGAACAAAACAGATTCCAGTTCCAAGGATGTACAGTCTAGAGCAGGGTAGGGGGAACAGGCACAAACAAAGGACAATAAATATATTTATAGTATTTTAGGTAGAAGGAAAAAAATGATAATATATCATCAAGACAATTTTATATTGCCACATATTCAGTGAAATGCAGGAATTCACACCTTGTAAACAGGGTGGTATGATAAGAAGAGGCAAAAATAAAGGAGCAATTTTAAATTGGGATTTCAGGGAGGGCTTCTCCAGGGAGGTGACATTTGAGTAGGAATGACAGGAAGACAGTGGGGACTGACTGAAGGGTCTAGAATTTCCAGGCAGGAGCAAGGGTGGCACCAAGACCTGGCAGAAGGAGGGTGGGATCAGCCAGGCATGGTGACGCACGCCTGTAATCTCAGCACTTTGGGAGGACAAGGCAGGTAGATCACCTGAGGTCAGGAGTTCAAGACCAGCCTGGCCAACATGGTGAAACCCCATTGATACTAAAAATACAAAAACTAGCTGGGCGTGGTGGTGGGCACCTGTAATCCCAGCTGCTTGGGAGGCTGAGGCAGGAGAATTGGTTGAACCCAGGAGGCAGAGGTTGCAGTAAGCCAAGATCTTGCCAGTGCACTCCAGCCTGGGAGACAGAGTGAGACTGTTTCAAAATAAATAAATAAATAGGCCAGGCATGGTGGCTCACGCCTGTAATCCAAGCACTTTGGAGGCCAAGGCGGGTGGATCACCTAGGTTGGGAGTTCAAGACCAGCCTGACCAAGGTGGTGAAACCCCATCCTTTTTTTTTTTTTATAAAAAATATAAAAATTTAAAAATAAATAAATAAAAGAAGGAGGGTGGGATCTTCATGCAGGAAGACAGTGGGGCTGGGGCCTAGAGGACAAGAGAAGACCATGGGATGGGGTCAGAGGGGCACAGAGGCCAGGTTGAGTGGAGCCCTGATGCCCACTTGAGGAGTTTGGATCTCATCTAAGTGAGTGCCTGACAGCATCAGATAAACATTTTAAGAGATCCCCCCTGGCCAGAGCAGCAGCTCTTGCCTATAATCCCAACACTTTGAGAGGCCAAGGCGGGTAGATCACTTGAAGTCAGGAGTTTAAGACCAACATGGCAAAACCCCGTCTCTACTGAAAATACAAAAATTAGTCAGGCATGGTAGCACACGCCTGTAATCCCAGTTACTTGGCAGGTTTCTGTGAGCCAAGATTGTGCCACCGCACTCCAGCCTGGTCAAGAGTGAGACTCTGTCTCAGAAAAAAAAAGTAAAATTAAAAGATCACTCCTAAATGAGGCAGGAAAAGCAAATGTATTCCTCTTGTATACTTGTTTATATCTATATAAAGAAACCCAGGAAAAATACAAAAGGACCTAATGAAAGTGGCTACTATAAAAGCAAACTTCTCAATACCCATTCTAGCATCATGCTGACCTCGTAACCATATGTAGCTATCATCTGCATTCCTTTCTTCTGGCTGCCATAACAAACTGTCACAAGCTGGTGGCCTAAGACAATAGAGAT